ACTTAATCTGAAATTTTGAGCTTGATGATTTTGAACCCTTTTAGTTTTCTCAGACTGTGAAAAAAACTTTGTGAGTGATTTATTTTCATACTTGAGATCTCAATGTGTTACCCTCAGAATAAAATTTAATTTCTTGTGGGACATTTGCACCCAATGGATGGATTTTCTACATAAATGTCTTATTTATGCTTTCTGCTACATATCTTTCTTAGTGAAAATTAGTCATGTGAATGCCTACAGTTCAAATACAGTTCATGCACTGACTCTGCTTTGAACTCATCATTAACATTATTCTCCTTCTTAAATGTCTTGTGAAGGTCTTGTGGACTAGGAAAAATGGCTGTATCATACCATAACTTATTTATTGTTGTGTGGGAGCTGCACCACAGATTATATTGCTCTCCTTGATATTCTTGGCTTATCTACCTGTAGCTTTCTTAAGTGTCAAATTGCTGTTGACCCTCAGTCTGAGTGTCATTCAGTAGGCTCCCTTACCCTAAATTATAACCTTTCGTCATTAAATCTGTTTATAGAGCTATAGAGTTGTGTAAGATTGTGGACGGCTGTGCCAATATCTTCTATGGATTCCTTCATCATGAAATGATGAAAAATACCTCTCTTGTAAATGAAATTTCAGAGGGAATTAAAGAGCTATTGGATTTAGTTATGATGGTATTATATGACTTCTTAAGTTTTAGTGTTTATCTTTCTTTTTAGTTGCATGGCTGAAAGACATCATGATTCTTTCAGCCTACAAGCTTTTCAAGTATGGATCAATTTTTTTCCTCTTCTGGCTTACATTTAGGCTAAAAAATATGAAATAGATCTGATAAGTTAAAACATATTTTCTCATCCACTCACCACCTGCACTTAAAGAAATATTTGTGTCTAAGGAATGACAGTGAAGTAGAGTAGTAAGGAAGAAACTTTGCTCACTGCAGAAGCAGTGGGGAAGGCCACAGAGCTGGACAGGGATAAGAATTGGATCACCCTTGTACATGAAACAGCTGGGGAACAGAAAAAGTAGATGACCTGTTAGAATGAGAAAGAGCCATGCTAGGTCATTTATTCAAACTTCTGCTCTTCCGTTGTCTGTAAAATGCAGACAGTAATAAGCAATAATAGTGATAAAAAATTCTCATTCACCTTTTCAGGAGAATCCTTTGAAAATATCCCAATAATGTAAGTTAATACAATATTTAAAGAAAAAAGTTAATGAATTGTATAAGTAAAAGCTTAACTTCCATACACATGGTTTCAGTTTGGAAATTGACTCTCTTTTCTATTGCTCCTGTGTCAAACCAGGAGGATCTTGCATGAAGCCAGTTAAATCACAAGGCTGAAAACTGAAGTAAAGGAAGAAAGAACTAGGTCCTACATTCATGTACTTTGACTACTTAGGATTAACTGTTCATGCAAAGCGATCCAAAAAGAAATTCAAACAAGTTTTACTTGAATTTAATTTTCAGACTGAAATGAATTCTGACAATTCACTGTTGCGTCAGCTCTCCTTCCAGCAACTAAGTGATAGTGACATTTATATTAAGGTCACCTAATGCTTCTCATTAAAATATCTCATATCTTAGCTATCACTGGCTTATATTTTTTGGCAAAGCTTGCCACTCATGATAAAATATCCTGCCTTTTATCAAGCTTTTCTTTCTCCTCTCTGACATTCCAAAAAAGTTTTGGTAATAATAAATTAGTCTCTTTCAAGTGTGAAGTACAGAATACATGGACAGACTCAACATCTTTCAAATTTATTTTTTTTATTAGGTTAGAACTTTGGAAACAGATGGTGGATTATGGAAGAAGCAATTAGTGCCCTGTGAGAATATGAAATAGGATCTCATTTTCTTTTGCGGCTTAGCTTGCTCCAGATTCAAAACAATAGGTTAATGGAACAGCCTCCTAGGTGAAGGAAATACTGAAAGCTAACAGTAATAAAATCTTCCTCCAATGTAAGAAAAGGTTGTTGATTTGTAAAATTATTAAAGGTGAACTGCAGTCTACACATTATTGAAGATCTGCCTATTTGTAATTCTTTTTTTTTTTTATTATGTGCATTAGGTGACTGGTATTTCCAGTTCTACAGGACTGAGTTTTGTGAAACCACTTTTATGCATAAATTATTTAGAAATGCAAATATTTCCCTCATGTCAACTGATATAAAAGATCAATGTAATTAATAATCCATTATTGCCAAATTGTTTAAAGCAGCTGGAACAGTAGCATAGAAATAAACATCTGTTTATTTTTCAAATTAGTATGAAGTCATTCTGCTCAGAATTCTAATTATATATGCTACTATAAGTGCTACATTCCTATTATTTCTGAGACGCTTTTCTGACATGCTGTTGAAACTGGTGTAATTTTCCTTTAATTTTGTGTAGAAAATGTTTTTTTCTAATTGCATTTTGCAAGATGGGAAATGAATTTGAAAGGAGGCTCAAAGTAAAATATGTTGTTATGCCTTTCAGCTATTTTATTGATTTATATATCCTTATATAATGAAAGTAAGCTTATTTGGCTTGTTCATCCATTTCTTCACCAACTTTGTATGGAGAATCCATCATATTCCATTGGTCTTTATATGTTGTGCAACTGCTGACTGAAAATAACAGCTTGATCACATAAGCAGATGCTGCCTACCTATTCTGCAGTGATGAGACATATTTAAATACTGTTGACTGATCCCTGCTACACAAAAGTGGGCTTTTTGAGTAAGGGGGAGTACTTATAGGAGGGCTGGGCAATAGACAATGCTCTACTTCAAAGCTTGCTGTAATTTCTCCATTAAAGCTCTACATGGAACAGACAAAGTTTATAGTTCATAGCTTTTGTTATATGAGGAAATTCAAAGCTTACAGTTGTAAGATTACTCAATAATTGTAATTGGGTCACTTTGTATTGACTTCTGAGAGTGATGGGGCAAGGGGGTTGGACTAGGTGACCTCCAAGGGTCCCTTCCAATCCAAGCCATTCTGTGATTCTGTGATACAAGTAATAGTTTGTAATGCCCGTGCACACTCCACCACGGACATCTTTTAAGAATCAAGATGTCTGCATTTTCTTGTCCATTCTCTATTTCGCAGAATTACTCAAGGACTAATAATGTATTCAAGGTGTGGTACCAGGACACTGAGGTGTTGCAGATACCCAAGCAGGCTATTTTGGTTCACTCTAATAGATGAAATCAACTGCACAACTCTGTATGTTAAACCAGTGCTACAAAGAAAACGTTTAAGAGGAAAACTGCATGAGACTTCTGAATCACTTTTAAATCCTATGCTCCTGTTTCAACCACAATAGGTTCCTATCAGATATTATATTTCCTTATGCAATCTGCATTTAAAATTTTAATGCACCAAACAGTAAGCATTATAAGAACATTTGAGAATTATGTGAGTATATTTTTCCTTTATTAATGTTTGCTTGTAAAATGCAAATATGTACTGGGAAATATAGCCTCAAAGACTTATTTACAGTCTTGAACAAATTTGAATGCAGTAGGTTGCTATAAATATAAAATATTAATATGATGTATGATTTTTTAAAAGTGAAAATAGAGGTTTTTGAATTTGTTAAACAAGGAAATTTAATACTTTCTGTACAGCGTGAGTCTTCTTCAGTCAAAAAACTGGAACATATGTCTTAGTGTGAAAAACCTAGCAGTGAACTCCTTTACCATTATTATTCCCAATTATATTTGTTTACATCTGCAGACTTATTTTAAATGTGGAGCTAACTTTACTGAAAAGAAAAAAAAAGAAAAAGAAAAAGTAATACAAACCATCTGCAAAGCGTAAGTGGAAGCCAAGGTATTATATTTTGATTGAAATATTATTCCTTCATTTTAAGACCTAAAAAGGACAATACAAAAATAAAAATGATAAAATGCTGTCTCCAGCCTTCTTTTCTACCCTCAACCAATATACTGTTTTCTACACTGGATTACATGAGAAATTCTACATCATGTAAATGTTACTTCACACATATATTTCTTTATCATTAATTCATCACTTCCTCTTTGAAACAAGCCAAATATACAGGGTGGCTGAGATTGGAAGGCAGCTCTGGAAGTCATGGTATCCAACCTTCCTAGAATCCAAGCCACCTAGAGTCAGTTTCCCAGAACTATGTTCAGATGGCTTTTAAATATCTCCAAGGCAGAAGATTTTACTGCTTCTCTGGGCACTCTGTGCCCATGCTCAGTCACTCTCAAGGTAAAAAGAGTATTTCCTGATTTTCAGAGGGAATTTCCTGTGTTTCAGAGTGTGCCCACTCTCTCTGGTCCTGCCACTGGGCACCACTGAAAAGAGCCTGGTTCAGTCCTCTTTGCACTCTCCTTCAGGTATTGATGAGATCCCCTTGAGCCTTCTCTTCTCCAGGATGAACAGTGCCAGCTCTCTCAGCCTTTCCTCATGGGAGAGGTGCTCCAGTCCCTTAATCATTTTTGTGGCCTTTTCCTGGACTCTCTCCAGTATGATCACATTTCTCGTACTGGGGAGCTCAACACTGAACACAGCACTCCATATGTGACCTCACCAGTGCTGAGGAGATGGAAGGGATCACGTTCCATGACCTGCTAGCAGTACTTTACTGTAGCCCAGGGTACCATTACCCTTCTTTGCAACAAGGGCACACAGAGCTGGTGCAGGCTCAACTCAGTGTCCACCAGGATTCCCGGGGCCTATTTTACCAAGCTCCTTTCCAGACGGACAGCCCTGAGCATGTACTGGTGCCTGGGGTTGTTCCTTCCAGGTGCATTTTTCCCTTCATGTGGTTTATTTTGGTCCCTTTCTGCAGCCTGCCAAGGTCCCTTGGGGTGACTACATGACCCTCTGGTGTATCACTCACTCCTCAGTTTGTGGTCATCATCAAACGTGCTGCAGGTACACTCTGCCCCATCATTGACTATCGCTGGGGGGGGTTGTCCCCGCAACAGACCCTTGGGCACACTTTGTATAGGAAACGGGCACACGGATGTGACCCACAAAATGGCGTTTATTAAAACAAGATGTCAGTTTATATAGAGGGGAATATGAAAGAGTCTGGAACAAAGGAGGGATTCTTGCTAGGAACATCAAATCCTAAGGTTTAGTGATAAGGGAAAATGGAGGGATTGGCTGCAAGGGATATGTCCAGCCATCTAGGGAGAGTTGGGAGTTAGGGAAGGAAGGGAAGGAGGGGTCTGTGGGTACAAACAGGGGAGTTCCACAGAGGTTTGTGAGGCTGCGTTCTGTGGCTGGGTCTCAGGCAGCCCTTTGCAGCTGCAGTTGTCAGAGGACTTAAACTTCTTCCTCTGAGGTTTCTTCGCAGCCTTTCTGCATCTCTCTCCATTCTCTGTAGGCTTCTGTTGGTCCACCTCCGACAATTGACCCCTGCCCTGGTGTACACTGCTAGTTACTGGCTCCAGTTAGACTCTGTGCCACTGACCACCACCCTCTGGGCCTGGCCGTTCAGTCAGTTTTCAATCCAACTCAGAATATAGACCTGGTATGGATAAAATGTGACCATCAAGGCACTTGCAATTTATAATTTCTGGAATAATTTATCATTTGTACAAATCCAAAATTAGTAGACATATCCATGTAATTATTTATGTATTTGCATAAGTATTTTTCTGAATGTATATCTCAGACTAAATAAAGAAATGAAAGAATTAAAGTTTCAATTTCTCTCTTGTTTTTATTGATTTTACTGATCTCCAGCTCCTTACTAGTAGTAACCCCTAATAATATACACTTTGAAGGAGGATAGGTCCTCAATATGGAAAAATTTTTATTTCATAGAAACAAAATATATTAAATTCCCTCATCTATACATAACTATTACAAAATTGTATATCTAGATTCTAGATACTAATCTATATTCATAACTGCATACTGTTTTAAACTACAGTGAGAAAAGTAGACTAACCCAAGAAAACCTTTTATGGAAAATGTAGAATCCAATAGTTTTTTAAGTTCAATTTCCAGTATACGGATTGCGAATGACATGGCATTCTGGAGGTCTTGCAACATTTATAAATGTTAAGCAGAGATCACAAAGAAAAGCAAAACATCACACTGGGCACAGCATGTTAGTCAGTATTCTTGCCCAGGGGTTGGAGAACACTATCTTTTTCATTACTAACAGATGTCTCCCATAATAGCACTCAGCTTTTTTTTTTTAAGACAATAAATGATAGTTTATCTATTGCTTCCCACAGTATTATTCCCCAAACCTGTTCATCATAATTTCTTATTTCCTCCTCATAATCTCCCTTCTACTTCTGGCTAGTTTTTAGTCTCCTTCCCATTCCAAATTTGTCTTCCATTTTCCTCCACACCTTCCTCTTTCTCCCTTTCTGGAACTCATCTATCTTGCTTCCCTCCCATGCTCCACTGCCCCAAGTCTTTACATTCAAGTCTTTGTGAAAATTTTTGTTCCCATTTTTCCTTCTGGCTGTCTTGCTATGACTTTTAATAATTAAGAACAATCTTTCTGAGTCTTGGATGTGAGGTAATAGAGGAAGAGAGCCTCTGTCTTTGATGCTCTGTTTTGGTTTTGTTTTGATTTGGTTTGGTTTTGTTTTGTTGTGTTTTTGTTGTTTGTTTGGTTTTTGTTTTGTGTTTTGATGTTGGTTTTTTTTGGTTTTGTTTTTGTTTCCCTCAAGAATAGCAGAATTTAACATGGTTACCTAGCAGGACATGTATTATAGTACTATACTAAGAAAAGTATTCATTTAGTTTTCCCTTTTTCATGGCATGTTGTTTAAAACTTGTGCAGTCAGTCAGTGAAATAGTTAAATTCTGGCTTGACAGAAGCATCTGTCAAAGATGAATAAGAGGTGTGAATAAAACATCTACTTTTGTAATAAACAAATGCCTTTTCCCCAAGGGATAAAAATTGGGCAATATGATCTGGTACTGTATCACATTTCATTCAAACCTAGCCAGTGGTCTCATTTGGCTGTCTCTTACACCAAATGTCTGTCACAGCAGTGGAATAGAAAGAAAGTGGAATGTTGCAAAATGACCCATCTAAACCATCTTTTATAACCTTGGACTTTTTCAAATATAAACAATAAATGCAATGGAGACTTCAAGATACCTGTTGACCCTCAAAAATCATAATTAATCAAGAGCTAAAGACAAATATCTATTTCCTTATATGCATTATCATCTATCATATATAAAATAAATAGTTATAAATTACTAAGTCTCTGTAAAACAGGTGAAAATGCCACATTTTAAATAATTAAAACAGTCAAAACATAGCTGACATGAACAATTTTGCTGCCACATTCCAAAGCCCAAAGTAAGTGAAAGAACATGAACAAGGAAAGGACATCAATGGTTTGTTGTCTCACTGAATGTGGGCAACATTTTTTTTTCTACTGCTCTTTAATCCCTTTTCTGAACAACTGAACAGCATTTACAATGTTTTAGCTGAAATGTGGAAATCAAGTATAAATAATCCTAGTCTGAATGATGTAAATTGATAAGAGTAATATTCAGTTTAAACCAAGGTTCATACAGTAATATCTGTATGACACACCCTTAGTCACTTTAACAATAGGGTCAGGCCAGGCCATTACTGGCACAGAACATAGAATTCCAAATAGAAGTAACTGAAATTTTAAATGTGGTTTAATGATGTGGCCCATTAAATTACAAATACACTCTGAAGTTGATTCTTCTTGTCCACAGGACAGCTTATAACCATATTTCCCACCTGAGCTGAAAATATTCTGTAACTTAGTCTTGAAATTTCTTTCCGTGATAAAATTCTGAGAAAATGTAACTTTTGGTAATTTTTGTTTCTGTCCTGTTTCAAAACTATGTTTTTATGATATTTTCTTCAATGTTTAGAGGGAAGACTGTGAGTCCTAATCCGTTCATCTCTTGTAGCTCTTCAGATAGAAAGACCATTACCTTTGCATTTTCTATTACATGAGATGTGTTTCTTGGCCCATAAATGCCTTCTCTTGTTCAGCATGTAATTTTTCTTCCCACTTCATTTTTATATTACTTATTTTCCTGCCAATTTGAAATATCTCTCCATGGCCCTAGCAGAATTTCAGTTAATTTCTCTGATATCTTCTTAATCATAGTCCAAAATGTCAATATCAGAAATTGAGGACTATCATTTTTAGTATCAGTCTTGATCATCTAATAATAAGCATTGCTGCCAAGATGCCATTTCAGGATGAGAAAGTTCAAGTGTCAAGAGATAATGGGTTATGATATAAACGACCCCTCAGTTTAACAAGAATTTTATCAGATTGTAACAGTCTTTTTCATGCTTGATTTCTTCTGTAGTCAAAGTACCGTGAAGGAAACACCACATGTTGTTCTGCACTAACAAAAGGATGATAAAAACAACTCAGAGAAAACAAAGTATCACAAAGCAAACTTTGATGCATTGCTTTCAGAGATCTCTGTTTCAGTTTTTCAGATAACCTCCATTCATCTTTTTCAACTGTTATGAAAAAGGGAAATTCATGATTTGCATTATTTTGCTCCCATCTAGAACGGTCAGAGAGTGTCGTAGTTTGATGTGTTACCAGAAATATGCTCACTGAAGAAGGCTAGTGCTGCATGACTGTGAGGTAAAAGATCCATATTTTCAAGGATAAAATGCTCTACCATAAATATAAAAATAATGATAAAAATTTAACTTTGAAGGAGGCAAATAGTGTCAGACATGACTGTGTTTCTAATTGGAATTCTGCACAAAGATACCAGCATTTTAAAAGCATTTATCCATAATGGACCATTGATACTCTGGATAAATTTCTGCTATAAATAACCCTTGTGCAATCCCATTATGACTAATGAGGTTGCAATACTTTAACCTAAGCCTAAATTTCAGGTACTGTGAAACGGAAGATTTCCCTCTTTTTCATTTAACAAGTTATCATAGCAATCTAATCTAGCTTCACTAGTTCCAGTGAAGTAGGTCTTGATTTTCACCACTTTGATAGATGAAATGAAGGAAATCTGAGTAACTGTCATTTTGTGCAATTCTGTAATTTGAAAATAATGCTTTTATACATAAATTGCCAAGGAATTATATTTCTTCAATGAGCATCTTAACTCTGAAATGGGTATGAGAATGATTTATGTAATTAAACAACTTATTACATTAAAAAGCAATTTTAAGTTCAGACATTCATGAATATTAGTTGAACTTAATGGCTTGTTTCAAACAACTAAAAAGAAGAGAAACTTCACAGCAGTTGATATGTTTTACTTAAAAATTGTGAGATGTTGAATCTAGTTTCTGAATACAGAATCACAGAATCACAGAATAGTTCTTCCTAATATTGGGGTGAAACTTATGTTTTAGTTTATGGCCATTGCTCCACATCCTGTCACTGGACATCACTTTAAAGAGTCTGGTACCATCCTCTTGGCACCCACCTTTGAGATATTTATATGCATTAATGAGGTCCCCTCTCAATCTTCTCTTTTCTTGACTAAACAGGCTCAGCTCCCACAGTGTCTCCTCACAAAAGAGATACTTGAGTCCCTTAATCATCCTTGTGGCTTGTGCTGGACCCTTTCCAGTAGTTCTTTGTCCTTCTTGAGCTGTGGAGACCAGAATTCAACACAATGTTTCAGATATACATTAAGGGTCTTGGAAATTTTCACAAAATATAATGGGCACTGATATACACCCACCTCATTTGTTATTGAGACAGTATCCAAAACACAGACCTTTGCATTTACTGAATGTTCCAGGAGGAAACAAGCTAATTTTTAGTGTAATACTATTTTTACTGACTGAGACAGTGCTGGATTTTCACTGTACTGTCACTGATTAAAACAAAACAAAACTTAAAAAAAAAGTACATATTGGAGAAACTTTCTGAGAAGTTCCAGAAGCAAGATGCAATTGCATGAGTAATTATTAATAGGTTGCCTACCTCTGTCACCATGTTTTGGGAGCACCATTTAGACATGAATTATCATACAGCCAGTTGCAACAACAAAATGGCTCATTTTGATCTTACTTTCAGAAGCCTGACCTGGAAATAAGTAATTAAAATTATTAAACTTTGAGGTAGGTGTGGAGAGATCGACAACCAGTTTTCCACAAATTAAGACAACATTTATATTTGTTTATTGTAACAAAGAATCTTCTCAGAAGTATACAATAATCACATGATATGCATGATATTCACAATATATAACATTGAAATTTATTTATGTTTAGTTTTAACAGCTTTGTTTCCCTGGAAGTCCATGTTACTAGCATGTCTCTGAATTACATCTACAGCAGTAAATGAGAAGAGTTTATGTGAATAATAAGCAAGCTTTTCTACCACAGATTTTGATCATCAGATGTAGCTCCCTTCTCAAAAGGGAAACGAAGAGAATGCAACAGTATGCAAGTTACTAGCCATGAGGGTTTGAGGAAACTGCACAAGAGCCTGAACAGTTGAATATGCTGACAAATGACCTGGAAGAAGGAGTGAATAAAATGATCATGTATCTGTCTTACAAAGGATATGGTATTACGGAGGATAGTCAAGTCTAAAGTGGACTGAAGATTTCAGAATAATCTCGTGATACTGAGTAGCAAAATGAGCAAAAATCATTGTTAAGAGATGTACTTGAATAAATGTATTCTAAGCAGATCTATACAGTGATATTCTCAGTAATTATGTTGAATGATTATGGTCTCAGAGAACTTCAACTCAGTGTTGTATGGCAACCAAAATGGCAAAGAGATTATGAGAAGTTCTTACAAAATGAAAAGAGAAATAGAATAGATCATGTTGTTCCAGTGTGAATGTATGGTACACAGTTTCTGTTAGTGTTGTGTGCAATCTTTAAGAAGATACACCAATATATGAAAAGGTATAAAAGAGGGAAACATTCTAATCACAGCTACTGTGAAAATTCTGGAGCCCTTTTCAATGGGGAAAACAGGGGAAAGTTTAAAGTGTAAAGAATAATATAACAAATATGGTTTTTAGCATTCACATAAGAATGAATATGAAAGATAAAATATATCTATTTACTTCCAGTAATTGGACTTGATGATCCTTGGATCCCCTCCAACTCAGGCCTTTCTGTTCTGTTCTTTTCTACTCTGTCATCATAATAAAATTAATGCATAACAGGGTTGGGTTTTTCTGTTTTTTCTTTAATGTTACCACAGTGTCAGAATTTCTGACAGGGATCTAGACCATAATGCCGTAACATTATTGTTTGTTCTGTTTAGGGAAGCTCTACAGAATGAGTTTTCTCTTATTTGTCTCCATTGTACTTTAATTGTGTTTGTGCTAAACAGAAGCATTCTATGTATTATTCAGCTCCACTTCTATGGCATCAGTTCCAAAAAAACCAAAGTCACAAAACACAATCAACAAAAATATTCACTGTATTGATATTAGAGGAAATAAGAGCAAATATGCCTTATATTTTCCTCAGATATATACTTTGTAGTGGCTTTTAACCCAATTTGCCCAGTTTCTAAATGGCAAGCATTGATCCATATACTATTACAAACCATGACCTCACCCATGTTTCAGCCCACTGGCTTACAATGAGCAAACCAAGTAATTGAATGCAATCTCAGCGGTAAAACAGCATGAAGAACATTAGAAAAGCTGACCCCTTCTCTCCACTCTCACCTCAGCAGTCTATAAAATTTATAGAAAAGCTCATCAACTTCTGCAATGCATTCCTCAAGGAGCACAAGGGTTGCTGAACTCTGTCTGTAGCCACTCAATGAATTCCACAGGACTCTCCATGAGAGCTCCTCTGCTCTGTTCTACTTGTTGAAGCATGCAACCAGCCTTACCCTGCAGGGGTATATCATGCTATTGAACCACTGTTGCGTAGTGGAGCATTCTGAAGATCTGAAGTGCAGACTACAAAGAGAAAAGAAAAAGGGCAAATAAAAAGTCCCTTGGTTCAGGAAGAATTGAGAAATTTAAGCTGAATTGCCTTACTTTTCATGGCATTTGTGGAATATAGGCAGACATATAATAAAAGCTCCATATAGTTATTGTGGGAAGAAAACCATGAAGGAACCCTATTTTTCTAAAGGACAAACAAAGGTTAGACAACATATTTACTAATAGTTTTTGTACTGGCTGTGAACAATGTCCCATGCACATCTCTGTAATATTAACTAAGTTTTTTTGTGATATTCCAAAAGCTTTTCTATGCTGTAGATCTACATGCCCTGCATTTTAAAAGTAAGTGATATTAAGTAAAATACTTGTGTAGAGTTACATTTTCTGCCCAATTATTGCTGGGAATTAAAAATTAAAAGGGAAAAATCAGAAATTTTTAGGAAGGACCTGCCCTTCTGACAGTTTTTTTTTTTTTTCCTCATCAGCTTATAAGGATGCCCAAACAGTGTCTTCAGTGGGGGTATGTGGAGGGAGACAAGGAGAAAGAAGGCTGTTTTTGTTTTGTTTTGTTTTGTTTTGTTTTGTTTTCTCTTTTGTCTCTCCAATAATAGCTGTTTCTCTTAGGTCCACAGGGAATGATGCATATATATCCACAAAGAAATATAATGTACTCTGCTTTTTTCCACCCCTCTATTTTACTCTCTGTTGTCAGATCATATTCTAATAGTCTTAAATTACTACCCCTAAACACACACTCTCATGCAGTGCCACCATATCCCTCTACATATGAGTTGTTTCTGCCCAGACTTGATGCAGGATCAGGAGCTACTAGTATTTTCATATGGTAGAAAGTTACATCTAATTAGATAGTCACACTTAACTGCCCAGTAGACTCCTCTGGCCAAGTGCTCTGGTGTGCTCCTTCACTAGAAATGGGTTGTGAGAGAGTAGCTTGATAAATGGTATATATGTATTTGATCATGAAAGGCTGTATTTCCCTATTTTCTCTGCTTGTGATTATTTGAGTTCCTTTGAGAAACAGCCAGGTAGGATGAGTTGGTAATTAGTGTGAGATACAAAGGCTAATTGCCCAATTATCCCTAGAAGGACAGCTGGGAAACTTAGTGTCCAGAGCCAATTGGAACCAGTTTGTGTTTAAGAACAGATTCCAGGCTATTATACTGGATAAATGCTCTTCCCTTGAAAAAGTTCCTTCTAGTTACAAAAAAATCCATCTCTTTAAACAATAGAACCAAAAAACCAAGACACTAACATCCCCTACTTCCCCCCCACACCAAAACTAAACCATTGTATTTCATTTCATTTCTGTTAGTCTTCTGTGGTGGGTTGACCCTGGCTGGATGTCAGGTACTCACCAAGACCATGCCATCATTCAACTCCTCAACTGGGCCGGGAAGAGAAAATATAAAAAAGGGTTCATGGATCAAGACAAGAGCAGAAAGAGACCACTCACCAGTTAGCATCATGGGCAAAACAGACTCAACTTGGGAGAAAAATTAATTTAATTTATTATCAATCAAGTCAGGAATGAGTAAGAGAATGAAAAAAAAAAAATCAAATCTAAAACCACCTTCCAAGCCTCCCCTCCTTTCTTCCCAATTTTACTTTAGTCCAAAGTTTCTTTACCTCTTCCCCTCCACCAGTGAAGGGGGATGAGGAACGGAGTTTGAAGGTACACTTCATGACATCTTGTTTCTGCTTCTGCCTCCTCCTCAGGGGGAGAACTCCTCACACTCTTCTCCTCTTTAGAGTGGGATCCCTCCCAGAGGAGACAGTCCAACTCCACAAACTTGTCCAATGTGAGTCCTTCCCACAGGCAGCAGTTCTTCACGAACTGCTCCGGTAAGGATCCCTTCAAAGGGATGCCATCCTTCTGGAACACTCTGAGTCCCCAGCAGAGTCGCAGGTGCTGCCAGCAAACCTGCTCCAATATGGGCACCTCTCTCTATGGGGCCTCAGGTCATGCCAGGAACTTGCTCCATTGTGGGCTTCCCAAGAAGTTACAGCCTCTTCAGGCATTCCTCTGCTCCAGGGTGGTGTTCTCTAGGGGCTGCAGGCTGATCTCAGCTCTACCATGGAGCTCTCATGGAGCTCCAGTGACTGCAGGGGCACAGCTGCCTCACCACGGATGGCAGGGGAATCTCCGCTCCAATGCCTAGAGCACCTCCTCTCCCTCCTTCTTCAACGACCTTGGTGCATGCAGGGCTGTTTCTCTCGCATATTCGGACTCTGACTGCTGTTCTGCAGCAGGTTGTTCTTTAACTTTCCTCTTCTTAAATCTCTCTCCCAGAGGTGGTACCACCAACACTGATGGGCTCTGCCTTGGCCTGTAGCAAATATGTCTTGGAGCCGGCTGGTATTGGTTCTGTTGGACGAGGGGGAAGCTTCTGGCAGCCTCTCATAGTGGAAGCCATCCTTGTAGCCCCACTGCTACCAACACTGTGCCATGCAAAGCCAATACACTATCCTGCATGTTATGTTATTAAACTATTTCCTTAGCTATTGAACCAAAATTGCACTTTTAAGAAATTCAAAATGCATCTACATCAGTGTATTAGTAATAAGTAAGAGGCAGCTTTGGTAATGAATGCCTTGACTGTTCTCCCTTGTAGCACTTTGTGGAGCACTCTGAGAACATGTAGACTGGATAGATTAAACTAAATTGAAAGAGGAACTACAGAATTGTGCCTAATGCCC